CAGCAGGAAGGGAATCGGAAGGGAAGCGATGAGATCCACGATCAGGACTACTCTAACGACAGCGTTCGATGCTCTAATACGCAGGTGTTGGTGTTAGTCAGCGCGATGATTCACAATCCTTTCGATAAGGAAGGTGCGACGTTGATCGTCGAGGAAAATGGAGTATCGACTAAAGGAGAGATCACGATATACAAAGGTGACTCCGATGGAAGCATCGACAAATTGAGTCTCTTGGTACAGTCACCTGTTCCATCGTCTGTGAGCGACGAGAGCACCGTGAAGATACAGGAGATAGTCGACGACGAAACAGAGAACGCGAAGGAAGGCTCTGACGATTCCTTGGCCCTAGACGAGAAGTCCTCGAAACGGGACGTGAGTCTGGAAATTGATGGCAAATACGTGAAGTCCGTGGTGAACGCGCGCAAGAGTCCTAGGAAGACGAAGAACGGTCAAATGCGGATATATAACAACGAAGTCGAGGAGAAGAGAGGCAAAGAGAGCGAAAAGGTGGAGAAGAAGAGCGCGGATTCAGGCACACAGTCGGAAGAAACGTTCTACAAGACTGTATCGAAATCCTCGAAAGCATCCTCGTCGAGATCGAAGAGTCCTAGGAAGGAAGGGAAGTCCCGATCAAACGGTCAGAAAGCAGCCAGCAATTCGAAGATTCACGAGTCCGCGACGATCAGCGATGAAAGAACCAAGAAAGCGAAACGATACGATGCACCTCTGAAAGGAAGTCTCGACTCTGTGATCGCTACTAATGATTCTAGAACGATTTCTAGACGAAGATCGAAGACCGACGAGATGTTCTCGAAGAAGTCCAAGAGCTACGAGTCCATTAAGAAGATTCAAGAAGTATGTTACGAGAATGCTTCCAAGGCTGATAGTACTTCTCAGTTGATCACTGCGAACGAACTGGACATGCAGACTGACGAATTCTGCTCTGTCTGTTGCTACGTGAACGAATTGTCTCTGAGAACCGAAGAAATAATGGGGAACGAGGATGTAATTCTGCGTTCCAATTGCAGTTCCATTGTGGATGAAGATTCCACCGAGTGCGATATTTGTAGTTCTTGGAATTTGCAGGAATCGACCGATACCCTGGACCGAAAGCTGATCTCGACGACCGAGTGCGACCAGATGTGCAAGGTGTGCGAGATCTGCAACGAGATCTGCGCCACGTTCAATCCGGATCAGGAGTCGAGGTCGTACACTTCCACTAGGCATCCGAGAGACTCGACCCAGGGCAGAGCGTTCGAGTCTTCTTCCAGAAGCTTTCCCAGAGACAGCTCCAGAATCGGCGACAGCATGGTGACCGACCCATCTCTGGACGAGGACAGCTTCGAAATCGAGAACTGCGGCTTCCAGAGCGGCCCAGAGTCGATGGACGAACGGAAGTTGGGCGAGCAAAGTGGTGACAAGCAATTATCCAAGTCTTTCAATATCTCTGATTCGGCTGTTACCAAAAAGAAATCACGTGACAAATATTTTATTCCTAAGGACGAGCTAGCTATCCTGTCCAGTGGCTCCAGACGCATGAATCGCAAGGGATCCTTATTCAGGAAGAAGCCAACCGAGGATCCGACTAATGTTACTCAGGATAAACGGCGTTATTCGTCAGTGGATAACCTTCAATTAGCAAAATCGTCTTCCAGAAGCAACGACAAGGTACTTAGGCCGAAGAACAACAAGCTGATAGGATCAGCGGATAACATACGTGCTTCCAAGAGCTCTAGAAGATGCAAATCGTTGCAGAGGTCTGCGGATAATGTTCGATACATGGACACGTCAACGGATAATTTAGACTCGCTGGTGGAAAACCTAGGAAGAGAGGATGACATACAGGAAGGCATGAACTGGATAGGAAAGCCGAAAGTCAGGGACAACGAGACTGTGAAGATAATACTGACCAAGCATAATATTAAAATTATCAGCGAGAAGGAAACTGCTCTGTAATGGGGAGATATAGGAATTCAACGAACACGGAGGAACGTAATTTGTTCGAGGAAAATCGCTCACATTAGTTACAGAAACAAAAAGAAGTTACAAAATATATATATACATATATTATATTATACACGACACAGATTAGATTGAACTCTCGTTAGGCCAACTGCAAACCCTAGGATGCAGACTTATCGACTCTCTTGTGATAATTCTGACCGATATATCGTCTTCAACAGACACAAGATTTTTCACATTATAATAGAGACCTAGTTAACGAATATACGTATCTATATTAAAAAGAAATATATGCATATATATTTCTTAAATATATATATGTATACATATATATTTATAACTCGGGAAACAGGTTCTTTTCCGAGGAAAAAAATGCCAAAAATGTTACAATTTCATCCTACTCACAGATTCTATTTAATTAATAACGACGACGTTCACGCGAAGAGACTCTTTAAGAAAAATTTAAAAAGTACTGTATAAAGAAGAAAGGAGAATGGAAATGGATCTCACATGTAATGGATGGCATTGTTGAACTACACGTTGATGGCCATGAATAGGAAAAGAGTTCTATAATGATATGCATACGAGAGGTCACAAGCGTTAAAGAAACTCCTGTAGACAGCCAGAGAAAATGATATTATATACATATATATATATATTATTATTATTATTATTGCGTTAACGAACTGATTAAGAGCTGTTGAAAATGGAGAGATTTAAGAGTGAGACGGATCAGTATTAAAAAGAAGCTCAAAAGATTAAGACATATATATGGTAGTAAGATAACAAAGATTTAAGAAGAAACAAGTTCTGGAAATGCACGAGCACCGAGAACAGTAAATTATCGAGACAATCCTACAATTAACTCGTCAATATTATACGAAAGAAGAATGGTTTCGACTAACTATAATGTATTCTATACAAACTACATAAGCGATGCGTTACGATGGGCTGCGATACATCGATCGGGGAGAACGTGATTAATTAATGTCGCTTCTAATGGAACCTGCTGATCTCAGTTTACGTTTCGTCGTCTGATAAAGAGGTGGAAGAGAGGTTATGGAAGGGATAGGGTAGAATATTCGATCGAAATGCGCGATTCCGTTTCGAACTCGAGATGTCGCTAGAGTGTATAGTTCAGTAACTGAACGACACGCTGTCTTACTTGCGCGACGGAACTATACAATTGATCACGGTTTACACATACATACATACACACCTCTGCCAAACAATTTTTATTGAGAACGTGCCAATTGTTTTTTGATACCTTTGTAGATATCGTGTTTTTTACTCTTTCGAAAGGCATATCTCTGTATGATAGTTTAAATCGTCGATACGTTCACGACAAAAAGCGATCCAAAGGGAGATCGAGAAGGGAGAGAGAGAAAAACGTTCCTTGATTCCGTCACTGTCGCACATCGAACCCGTTCTCTTTCTCGAGAGATCTCTATAAGTATATTACAAGCAGTTCTTTTAACCTCTCTTTTCTTTTTTATTTATTTCTTTATTTTTCCTCGTATCTCTTTTGTATCTTCTATATGCACGGTGTCATGCGCCTCTCTCTTTGTCGTAAATCTCGCTTTGAGAAATCCCTCCGGCGATGGTAATTGCTGTCTTGTTGCGAATATTTTTTCAAAAATATCCACGAATTACTCCACTGCATCTAACTGTGATGAAATCGTTCGGGTTGACGAGAAACTATGCGAGAGAAATCTTTTGTAACTCGATTTCTTTTTTACTCGACACTTTTCTCCCCTCTTTTTTATTTTTCTATTTTTTTTTAAAATATTTTTATCGATGAAGAGTTTGCTCAAATTATCGACCCCGATGAGATACACAAGACTCGATTGCAAGTACGCTTAGGTGCAATGGAAACGAATCGTTGTTTGATATTAATGCCTGAGCTTCTTAGGCGTACCTGTGTTTTCATAGTGCCTAATTTCCATTGTTCTACCAGCAGCCGCGCTCACTGGCGGCGCCACTGTCGAGAAGCATCGTGTTTGCGAATGACCTTGCGAGAAGCGATTCTTTTCACTTTCTTTTCTTTTGTATTTAGTTGACAAGGACGTGTTTCTTCTTTTTTCGATCACCACCAACCTCCTTTCTATCACGGCCCTGTTATTTTATTAGTCTTGATGCGCAAGCCTAATTTTTGTACACTACCCCTAACCCCTTCGAGCAGATTCTTTGCTCTTGTTATTTATATAGTAACGTAGATAGACGAAGGTGGCGAGAAATATGCTCAAGCTGACGGTGTTGATTGTTTAACCCTTTGGGGACGCTATTTTTAAACAATTCTTTTTTTCCAAGTTCCGAATTCAATCGATTTTTTTTCTTCTTTTTTTATTAGAGAAGATATATTTATTTTTGTAACGAAAATAATTCTTGTTAATGGAAAATTATTATATTTATTGTTAAATGTAACACGGTTACCTGGAAATATGCCGGCCTTCGACCGCAAAGGGTTAATTCACGAAAAGTGCTTCCTGAGTGCGACTAAAACGGCCTTAGGCCGCCCTTGTATCTTTTTTGGACCAATTCCGCTTCTTTTTTCTATTCCTGTATCGTTCGTTTCTTTGTTGTCTGTATTTTTCGATTATTTCGTGAGACATGTGAAATGTGTTTGGCCATATCACGACTTCTATCATGCAATCGCTCTGTCGGACGACAGTCCTCGTGTCCAAAATCGTTTCTCATTCATAGTCGTAACCGCGAAGTGTTCCTAAAAATTGAAGAAAGAGATCGAAGAAGGAGTCTGAAGAAAGCGAAGTAAGCTCAAATCTCGATGTACAAAACCAGTATTATTACGCGTATTCAAGTGTTCAGTATTATTAGCATTTCAATGTTGTTTGAAAGTAAAATTGCAAATGGCGCGTAACGTAGTATCGGCTCGATTTTCGAGTACTTAAGAATTTTCGAATTCACGCGAATCTTTTCTTAGAAATTCAAGGGTGATCTAACAAGAGAAGCCGAGAGGAAGCGAATAATTCGATAATTCGAAGATCTTTCCAACTCGGTTTCACCGATTTTGACAAATTCCAATTCTCGGCGGTAATTTCCCCGTCGCGAATCGATTTCGTCACGTCGTTTCACTTCCATTCCGTCGCGTTTTACATGGGAATTCCCATTTTTGGAACAGAGGACTCGCAGACATGTTCCGCCATTACGCACCACGCGAGCGCCCTCTTCTTAGATCCCCTTGGCCAAATGGCGATCGCGGCTCGATCGACCTCGGCTCTCACCGGACCCAGGTGCGAGCGTGTTAAAAAGGCAATGGTTCCACGTCTCTTTCTCAATTTTTGCCCGACTCGAAACCCGTGGTCGTCGCGTTTATCGGGGATCAACGCGAAAGGAAGGCGGAAGCCCACGATGGCGTGATAGAAGTCGATGTGTGGTTCGGTTCTGATGGAGCATGTGATATGTGTTTTCCAGGGTACAGCAAAACCTGCATGCCTACTGTAAGACAGATAGTTGACTGTCTCGTTGCTGCTCGACCCATGCCAATCCGATGCGGCCCCTGCCTTACTGCTAAACGTACTAATACTGCTACTAACAATCGCGGTAGTAACGGCGCCAGTCGCGTTAGTAGCACGGCTAACAGCAACAACATCAACAGCTACATCAACAACAACAAGAACGTACACGCCTACGAGAACATTCAGAGCTTTAGAATGCGCGAGAATGTCCCGATCGGTTGCGCGACCAACCGCGACTAGGATTTCTGTTTCCCGCAGTGCTGGGGACAGCTTCCGCCAATCAGATCACGGATCTTATGAGTTTCGATATTCGTGGAAGGGAATACGTTCATTTCTTTTCGTAGCTATCTATCTCAACGAAGTTTTCTTCGTCGCTCGGTTGATATCGAGTTGATCGGGCTCGAATCGATACCTAACCTCAAAGTTACTAGGTAACTAAATTACAAAGTAACCTCAAAGGCACTAGAACTACCAGGGTGGTCAAAAGACGTTTTATTTTCGCAGTTACCGATGATATGCGGGATCTTTGCTGACATTAATTTTTATTCTATGGCGAATATATTTATTTTCGTTGTACCATTTTATTTATCATTATCTTTGTATATTACGCGTATATTGGTAGTTCTGGTGTTAATTATTAATTTTTCTTTAGCAGGTTAGTAATTATTTTAAATTGGTATATAGAATTCGTGGAAAAATGGCGGATTTGTGAATAGTAGTTTCGCGTGAATTAAGTTTCGAAATATGAATTGGAGATTGAACATTTGACAATAACGGGATTATCATTGCACACGATCGAAGTTCAGTGAAGCAACGGAGGGATTAAAGATGGGGTTCATTTTGGAAGAAATATTTTTTTTATGAGAAATATTTTATAACGAGCTATAGTTTGTTTTATTTGTTACTTTGGTTGTATTTTGGGATTGATGAGAAGTACAAACTGTAGTGGGTATGTAACGAAGGGAATTTGAAAATATTTTTTGTTTTTTGAATTTAGAAATGTTAGGACTTATTGTACCTGGATTGATACCAGATTTATGAGCTTTAAATAACGTTCATGAATTGCATTTGCTTTCCTCCGGTATAATCATGAAATATAACAGTATAGGTTATGATGTTTTTGATATGGACATGGAAGAGAATGGAAATGTTTGTAAAAAGAACGTAAAGAAATACATATATCTATATACACTTTGTTAATTTTGAATAAATATTTATTTTATTTTTCATCGAATCTTTTCGATCGTTCTTGTTATTGATCAACGATGCAGGAGTGAAGTATTATTGTTATTATTATTTGTTCCTTTTTACTATAGTTATAATCATTGGATCAATTGAGAGAATCAGAACACTCGTCGATCGATTCCCCAGCACTGCTTGCTTTTGGAAAGATTTTTCAATTTTTCAATTCCGTTCTTTTGTACTCGAATCGCATTTTTTAACGTTACAATTTTATACATCTTTTTGCACTATTAATGTTAGGGAAAATGGTGTCAAACCGGACAACTGACACTTCAATTATTGCACTCGAAATTACACCTGAAGGATATGTTACGAAGATCGATCTAACAATTTTTCTTACGATTTAAAATAATTTTCATGTGACATCATCTTTGTCATTTACAATTCGCGTGATACCTTATGTTCCATCGTTGAACGACTCAATCTGCGAATCCGCAAGCACTAGGAAGCTTGCCGGAGAGCATGTATCGATATATTTAAAAAACGAGAAAAAGGAAAAAATATACTGTTTAATATCTGGCACGTTACCGATGTACCGAATTATTTTCACTCTTACGAAGACTTATAGAATGGAAAAATAGTCTCGAGAAAATAATTTCATTCGATCGTGAAAAAAGATCACGCTTACTTTCCTCGATTTTTGATCCATCTTTTAAGCAAATTACGATTAAGCGCTTTATACATTGTTGGTTATATCGAGATCATTGTTAATCGTTAAGGATCCGTTGTTATTTTCTTACAAATAGCGCTATTCCAGCGTTGTACCGTGGGTCGCGTGTCCGACATTTTGCTGCAGTCGCCATTTTGTAATCACCGTGACGATTCTAGTCCCAGCGGGCATTGCACACTCTTTGACACGGTATTTTACTATGGAAACGACTGCTTTGGTACTTGTCTCGGTCAATTTGCGAGTGTCGTTTCGGAAAGCAATCAATGGTCACGCGTACGCGCATGCGCGGAGCAACGAAGCGTGCAGTTTCGAGGTTAGGGAACTGATCAGGTGGCGATCTTAAGTCGCGCGTTTGAATCGAAATTTCGGACGCTTTTGCGTTACGAATTCGAGACTTTTTATTTTCTTGGTTCGTTCCTTTCGAAGGCGTTTATCAACGCGATGGTTTACGTTGAAATGTTTCGAGAATAAACGCGGAATGCGGTCGAGGAAGAACCTCAACCATTCGCCATTTTGTCCGTGGTACTGCGGGATATCGGTGACGAATTTGCGAGAGGCGAAATTTCAGCTTTGCGTCTCGCGGGTACAGGGGCGGATTTATAAGGGGAAATGAAAATAATCGATAACATATTTTATATACGTTGGCAAGAGAGGAAGGATGAAAGAGTGAGTGAGAGAGAAAGTGTGTTTGAAAGTGGAGAAGCGCGAGAGGCGTTCGACGCGCTTGGATTTCCATTCTATTTTTTTAAGGATATTTCTTTTTAAACTGCGATCTAAGCGATTGCTTGCGAAGATTAGTATACGACTATTTAGATGATAATTCGTCGGGACAGAATTTTACTTGCTTCTTCCTTTTCAGTCTATAATTTGCCACCCTTTGAACCTTGCACTCCAATAGATTAACGTGTTCTTTCAAGCTCGAAATTTTTTCTGTAAAAACAGAAAAATATTAAAAAGACAGAACACGTGAGAAAATTTGTAATTTTTTAAAATTTAGTTTAAAAATTTAATTCTTAGCAATAATTACAAAAGGTTAATGAAAATTTTCATAGGAAAGGAAAAGAGATTTCAATGAGTTACACTTATGGCATAAAAATAGGCGAATATATAAAAGATAGAACGCGTAGGTTAATTTTCGCATTTTCGTGCGGTATTAAATTATTCCTGACCTAGGGGAAAAGGTAGAAAAATTTCGATCAGTTACGAGGAAGGATCTATTTATATTCAGCCTATAGAGTGTAACGACAGTGGCATCTTCGGAAGCGTTAACAAGCCGCCGGAAGTTCGACGGAGTGTAATTAAAAGCTGAAGAGGCACGGTGTTTTGTAAAAAGGAGAGAGAAAAAAAAGGAAAAAGATGTCTAACGAGTTCTCAGCCGAGTAATTAAAATTTAAAATCATCCGGCAATTTATTTGCCGCGAACTTAACAAAGTTACTCGACGAGGCCCTCGTCGGGCTGAAAAGGGCTTTATTACTATTTATTACGGGTCGTATTAATCTTCAAGAGTAGCTCGGCGACTTCCGAGTGTCCTGCACTACTTGTCCCGTTTTACCATTTAGAAAAGTCCCGCATTCGTTGCGCACTTCGCGAGTCGTTGATCATTCTACAAAAGGGGTACAAAAATGTTGGAGTGCAAGGGTCAAGGGTTGCTAACCTTTGCTCGAGAGTTCAGTACTAGCTAATAATATATTCCATCGACTGTACTTCTGGAAGGCACCAAAATGGCCGATCGACAGAAAATTTGAGAAACATCTGTGAAATTCATCGATCCAAAATATAGAAAACTTTACCTTCGAATATTCATAATAATGTTTTCATACCTGGTAATTCATAATTGTTGTATAATTAAAATTCTATTCTCGTTAAATGAAGGAAAATGGAGAGAACGATGGCAAGATGGAACCTATAGGCAAACGTTTCGTTTTATCTAGTTTAAAAGAAATTAATATTCCCTTGGGGATGTTTAAATATTATGAATTTTTATATAAAATTTAATATTTCGTGAAGAAAAATTTATTTCTCACAATTTGGATTTTTCTATTGTAGAAATACGTTTAACAAATCTACCAGACAATGCAAATGGCTTCCATATGGGGACTTGAAAAATTCCTAGTGATTATATAGGATAAAATTAATCAGAATGCATATTCACGTGTACAAATAGAATTCGATATGTATGAAAAGTATCTCGATTAATATCCCAGTAATTTATAAGTATTTAAAATTAAAATTTTTATTTTGGTTTCACCCTTACCCTAACCTAATCCTCTCGAATTTCATGTCGGTCTGCCACTGGTACCCTTCAGGAAAGTATCCCTTCTATCAAGCATCGAATAACTCTCTTTCATTTGTATTTAATTGAAGCGTAGTTTGCGAAGTAAGATGAAAGAAAGAATCGAGGTAGAATACTAGCTCTAAGGATTTTAGGTTATATTTGCGACCTCGTTTGATTTATTTGACGGTCTCTCACCTAAGTGCCAGGCAATCCTGAGTCAGATACGTGAGTCTGATATCTGACATGTTTATTTCGAATAATTATCGAGCCAATTACAATAGCAGTACTTAATGCAGCTTTCGAGGTTAGTACACG